TTGAGGGAAATAAGTATAACAACTTGACTTGTGGTTTATTTATTATATGTTTATTTGATTGCTATGTAAATAAAACACTTTTACTGAACAAAATGATTTAATTCAAAATATTCTAAGTCCAAAATGATTAATTTAGAATGTTGACTGGCATGAAGGTGCTTGCACTGACTCTGGTGATTCACATCTGATTTTGGTCTATTTGGGACTCTCCTATATAGTCCTACTCTCTGCGTTTCCGCTCCTATCGATAAGATAAGTATGTGTCCATGGTCTAATCGTGCAAATGCGTACGTGTGTATCACTATAGGATACCGTAACATCCCACGCTCGTGCCGGCCGTTCGGTCACATCCTACTATTCGCGACACACGCGTAATCTCAATAAACCCGATGCCCTAATTATATATCTAAATGATTTCCTGCCAACACGGTTATTTCGTATAATAAACTCCACTTATTTTAATATTCTATTCGTACCGGACATCGAGATTTGACACAATGTGATCGGTGATGAAATCATATGCCCCAATGACACTCACGTACACCTACGTACAAATCATAGACATATAAATTACATATAATGTCTATGGTGCAAATGCGTATTTAGTAGTCTTAGCGGGACGTCAGTACATAGCATGGACGTATACACGTCCGTAGTACATAGCTATAATAATAATTCAAATATTTAATAAGTATGACACCTGTATGATTGATGATAATTATATCATTTAGTAATTTTCATAAAGAATGATAAGAAATGTGAACGATTCTGATTGGACGCGCAATTTTGCTTCCGAGACGCTCATCGATTACCACAGATTATATAATCTGTGCTATTACTGTGTGTCCCATAGATATTAAAGAATGGATAGGCCATTTATGCTTATCATACGAGAACGAACATGAAAATATAGAGGTCTTATACAAATGTATAATTCATGAACATTTGTGGAAGGACCCGAACTGAACTGTGCATATAAAAGTGGTCCGAAATTATCGCATTCCGCCAGAATGCGCGTCGGACAGTAGTGATGTCGTTTTTACATGTACAGCATAGGGAAATTATTGGTTTTTTAAAATATTATAATCTAAATGACGAAACTTATGAATAATTACTATGGAACGTTATTTTAAGACCAAATTGTCCTCAATCGAATATATGTGTTTCTAGTAATATACGACTTCTATAAAAAGAGATTTAGTTGTTTTAAGACATGCATTCGAATTTTGTAATATATATTATTATATCTATAGGCAATATAATCAGGGCCTGGACACTGATAAAAATGAACACGGTAAAGATACCCAATACTCAAAAATGTGGTGGCCATCTTACCGTTGGCTAAACAGTGTAACCATATCAGAAAAACAAAATTTTAAATACAATGTTTTTCCAAAAATGTATAGATCCAGCTCTAGTTTTATTCAAATTACTTACTAATTGCATAAAATTCTTAATTTTAAAATTAGCAACTGCATAAGATTAGTATAAATCAAATATATGATTAAAAAGGTATTCATATTAAATATATATTGGAAAAAATACACGTTTTATTAAATAAAAAATATATTTTATTTATTAGAAGCTAAAATGTAGTTTTGAAATTTATAGATCACKATTGTTTGAAGGCAAGCTTGAATAGTAGAGGTACATTAAGATTATGATTTAAAAATAAGAAAATAGATTGAGAAGGAAAAAGATAAAAAGAGTATGTTATTATATAATGCTTCTAATGCACAGTATTATTCAAAAAAGTACAGATGATAGATCACAACAGAACATGTTCTGCATTTTTTAACTGCAGTTAAATAGCAGTACACACTAAAAAAACGTGTAACAAATGCTTTAACTAAGATTTTTAATAATCTTAATGTAAATGTTTTGAATTTAATCATGAATTATGATACCAGTTTTTTAACTGGCCTACTCCCGGACATAGCGCCATACGAAAAAAAAAAACTGATAACACTAAATTGATAAAGTAGCCACCGGGAACATGGCCGCCACGTTTTTGTTTACATTGAAAGTGTCCCTTCTGATTTAATCTATTCTGTAATATAATATCAATGATTGCGTCTTATCACAAATCACAACTCACAAGAATAAAATGTAAAATATTATCAGCCATAATCATTTTTTTTTTTTTAGTAACGAGAATGCATTTTATTTGCTCTCGAAACAATTCGATTGAAAATTCCAAAAAACAAGACTTCATCGGAGTCAGTCAAGTTAATTTAACTATTTTATAAATTAATTTGTTTTAAATTTAACAGAGAAGTTACATAATAAGCTGTATTAGATTATTTTACAAACCTACATCAATCATTTACTACTACTACTACTCGTAAGCGCTACAGGCCACAWTGACCCTTGGCTTTCAAAACAATTCGTCTCCACTCGTCTCGATCTTTAGCCATACTTTTCCAGTTCTGTATACCCATCTGTTGTAAGTCCTTCTTTACTTCGTCTATCCATCTATTCCTTGGTCGTCCTTATCTTCTGGTTCCTTCCATTCTTGCCAACATTATGCGTTTTGGAATTCTTTCCTCGTCCATTCTTTCCACATGACCTAACCATCTTATCCTGCCTGACTTTATAAATTTTACTATATTTTCGTTTTCTAAAATTTGCTCTATTTCAATGTTATTCCGTATCCTCCATCTTCCCTCCTCATTAACCGCTCCTTGTATTTTCTTATTATTTTCCTTTCAAATATCTTTAGCCTCTTTGGAGTCTGCTTTTGACAATGTCCAAATTTCAGCTCCATAACAGACTACAGGTCGGATAAGTGTTTTGTATAACTTCATCTTAGTAGTTTTCGATAGCAGTTTTGATTTTAGGAGTGTGATATTGGTAAAGTATGCACGATTGCCAGCCATAATTCTTTTTTTTATCTCCTCTGACATATTATTCCTGTTATTAAGGGATGATCCAAGATACAACAAATCTTTTACGCCTTCTAAACTATATTGACCAATTGTAATGTTCTGCACTCTGAGGCGTGCCTCAACAGCTGATAATCTCATGTACTTGGTCTTCTCTTCATTAATTTTTAAACCCATAGTTTGTCCCTTAAATTCTATACTTTGGTATGCTTCTATCATGGCAACCTCGTTTCTTGCTATTATTACTAAATCGTCGGCATAGGTGCAGATTTTCCATGACTTGTTTACAATGCTTCCTGTTTTAATTGTATCTTTTACAGTCTCATGCAGAGCAATGTTGAAAAGTGTTGCTGATAGAGCTTCACATTATCTAACTCCTGAATCTATGTGAAACGGGTCGCTTATTGATCCTCCAATCTTGACCTTTGCTGTTGCGTTTTCTAGGGTCATAGTTATCAGTTTTATTATTTTATCGGGAACACCATTTTTTGCTAGTGCTATGTTCATTTCTGATCTATTAAGGCTATCGAAAGCTTGTCGATAATCAACAAATAATAGATCAGTATTGAATTCTAAGCATTTTTCCATTATCTGTCTAACAATAAAAATCTGGTCGGTGGTTCCTTTTCCGCTGCGGAAGCCACACTGATACTCATTCAATATTTCTTCAGAATATATGTCTAGCTTTTTTAGGAGTATAGCCGATAAAATTTTGTATGGGACACTTAATAACATAATTCCTCTGTAATTTGCACATTCTGTCCTATTTCCTTTCTTAAAGATAGGGCATATGATTTCGTTACCCCAATCTTTTGGCATCTCTTCGCTTTCCCATATACAACATATAAGTTCAAACATCGCGTCTTTGTACTTCTTACTGCTATTTTTAATTACCTATGTAGGTCGCTTGTTATCTCATTCTCTCCAGGGGCTCTGTTAGTTTTTAGTTTAGCAATAGCTGTATCAAATTCGTTTCTTGTTGGTTTTTCAATTTGTGGTTGTGGGCCATATGGTACCTCTTTTWTTTCATTCGTAATTACGTCTTTATTTAATAATTCATTGAAATGCTCTTTTTATTATTTCTTTTTCATTGTCCGTTATTGATCCGTCTTTTTTTTTACATGTGTTTATTTTAGGTTGGAATACTTTTCGGATCCAATTGACATTTATATAGAACTGCCTGTTATTTCCTGTGATATTCATTTCTTCGAATTTCTCTACATGTTTTTTCATCATTTCCCTTTTCTTTTTGCGACATACGGCTTTTGCTTCTTTTCTTAGATTTCTGTATGCTTCATAGTTTTGTCTGGTTTCTCGTTATAGCATTTTTAATCTTGCTTGGTTTTTTCTATTGAGAATTTCTGTGCATTCTTCATCATACCATTCCTCGTTTCTAGTGTGTTTTATGACGCCAATAGTTTCTTGAACTGTGTTGACTGTTATATTTTTGAGGAGCTTCCATCTTTCTTCTATTTGATCTTTTGTAATTACGTCCCCTAACTTAGTTAAGTTACTTAGTTTTGTGTCAAGAGTTTCCTGATATTCTTTTAGGTCATCTTCATTTTTAAGATTTTCTGTGTTCCGCCTCTTTCTTTTTATGCCTTTATCTTTTTGTATATTAGCTAAGCGTTGTCTGATTATTGCGCGAACTAAATAGTGATCCGTATCGCAGTTGGGACCTCTCATCGTTTTAACATCCATTATAGTTGAGGCTTGCTTGGATGAAACAACTACGTGGTCAATTTTATTGACTACGTTTGTTCCAGGCATCTTCCATGTTCCTTTGTGTATGTCTTTGGGTGGAAAGCAAGTACTTTTAATCGTCATTCTATGCATCTCCGCAAATTGAGCTAAAATCAAGTCATTCTCACTTGTATTATCATGTAGAGAAAATCTTCCTGCTACTGATCTTATTGACTTTTCTTTTCCAATCTTCACATTAAAGCCACCCATTATAATATTCATGGCGTGTTTAGGTATCTTATCCATGCATTTATCTAGGGTGTCGGAAAAATTCTTCTTTTCTTTTTCATCAGAGACTTCGGTTGGAGCATATACCGAGAGTATTGTTGTATTTCTGAACTTTCCTTTGAGTCTTATTTTGCATATTCTGTCTCATATGGCTTCAAAGTTTAAGAAGAACTTGCTCATTTTCTTGCTTACGTAGAATCCAACGCCATTTCTTCCTGTTTTCTTTTCCTGTCCACTATAGTACAATGTGTAGTCTTTCTTATGTATGAATCGTTGACCACACCATCTGATCTCCTGTAGTGCTACTATATCGATGTTATATTTTATAATCTCTGATGATAATTCGTTCATTTTCCCTGCTTGTAGTAAAGTTTGTATATTCCACGTTGCKAATGTCCAATCTGTTTTCCTTCGCTTAATCCTCTTAGTCCGGTTTCCTTGTCCAGTCTGTATCACATTCTCTATGTCCGAGTTTTGATTTCTTTGATTTGTTTGCGTAACGATAATTTTTGCTGGAAGAGGTTGTTAGCCTCTCGCCGAACCCCCTACCAGGAGGACCAGAACTATTTTGATCGCCTTTTACGATTGGTATAGATTACCGTGGGTGTATTCTTTCTTTTTCTTCCCCCCCCC